TGGGGGGGCCGGGGGCTGCAGGGAGGAGGAGGAGGAGGAGGAGGCCGGGATGAGGGGGGTCTCTGCACGAGGTTCTCCCAACAGACGTGGAAGATACGCATCCGGGGAAATGAAGCCATTTTTTCCCCCATTTTTCGCCCCTCTCCAGCAAAGGGAGCGGGATGCCGTGGGTCAGGGCACAGCTGTTTGCACAGCTTTCGGCCAGGGGACCGAAGTTTGGCCTCTTCCCACCTGCCAGCGGCCCTGTGCAGGCCGGGAGATTTGGGAATGCCGGTGGGATGTCCTGAAAAATCCGTGTCTGGCCCGTGCCAACAGAGGAGAGAGGCTGGGGCACAACATATGGGACTACAAGAGCAAATATTCCCACATGTGCCATGTCCCGGCGCAATTGGGGCACCCGAATGTGCCTTTACACGGGCTTCTCACACCCTCCAACCCTTCAGACAGAGGAGGACGTGACTAATGGCCAGTACCCCCCCCCACCGCCCATTACCAACCAGAGCGAACCTCCGCAGAGCAGCTCCAGCTTCGCAGCATCCTCGCAGCCCGTCTCCTGACGCAGGTGTCCCCGGAGCCCGTCCTGCCGGAGCCACCCGTCCGTGACCCCAGACCATGCTGGGAGGGTCCCAAAGACGTGTCAGAGGGGTTTCGGGTGCTGGCATTACCTGGGCTGTCCTGGGCATTACCTGGGGTGTCTTTATCCTTCACGGACAGCTCGAAGCTTCTGAGGAGCAAAGTCGATATTCCCAGGGCCGGGCTGTCCTTTCTTTTATTTAAGCATGAACCATCCCAGAGCTGCCAGTAAAATTTTATGACCTCCTTGTATGACAGTGTATAATGTGAATTAAGAGGTATTAACGAAGTGAACACAGTGTCATACTCTAAGGACTGGTTGGCATAATAGTTTGGGAGGGGAATTTTCGTAGGGGTGTCACTTGACCCCTCGCCGTACCCGGGTCCGGGTGAAGGAGCAGCCGGTCCTGCCCTGCGGCTCCGGGCTCAGAGCGAAGGTGCTTCCGAGAAATATCCCAGAAGGTGCTTTCGAAGCCCAAAAATGCGAGATAACCAAAGTACAGAACAAGATAACTCCATCAACCATAAACCGTTGCCTGAGCCAGGGCGAGACCGGCCCCGGCCCCACCTCGGCTCCACCAGCGGTTTGGAAAGCGCAGGGGTCCGCTCAGCACCAGGGTCTTCCTTACCCTTTGCGCCTCCGCTCTCTGTGCGACCCATTCTGACTCCACCCAAACTCCATTTTCCTTTCTGTGTTTCTTCCATGCAGTAATTAATAAGGTGCACTCTGCCACCGACCGTACTGCGCCGTGGCAAACCACCGTTACACTTTGTTAAATTCCATCGAATTTATCGAACTGTCAAATTATTATTTTTACCTTAATAAAACATATTGCGGCTGCTCTCTTCTGAGTGAGGTGCACTCCACTCATCCCTGACAAAGGAGGACGGTGCTCTGGGGCCCCGCAGGGAGCCGGCACCGGGCTTTTCACGGGTCCCAAACGATGTCCCCAACAAGTGGCACCTCCCAGCCTCACCCCCTATGTGTGGGGGACGGAGTGGGACCCGGGCTCGGGTCCTGCCGCGAGAACGGTGACGGAGCCGGAGGGGATGAGCTGGCAGCCCGTGCCGGTGCTGCCCAACCTGCTCGCTCCCCACCAGTGGGATTTGGGGGATTTCACAAGCCCAAGCCCTTTTCACGACATCCTGTTTCCACGTGCCAGCGAAGCGCTCGGCCCTGACTTGATGAGGTTTCCGGGAAGAAATCCCCTCCAAAAAATGAAGGGAGCGGCGATCTGCGCCGTGCCAAAGGGACGATAATCCCAGCCAGGGCTCCTCCTGCCAAAAGCCGTTCCCCTCCACGGAGCGAGAGACTCCAGGGGCCGCGGAGTTGCGCCCCATCAGCCTCGGCCGCCTGCACGCACCGAAAATCAGAAGTGCCGGCAGCGGGGAGCTGGGGTTTGGGGCTGAGAGCGGGGAGGGAAGGGGGCCCCAGGGCCGTGGGCAGGGGAACCGATTTAGGGTTTTGTCACCAAGCACCCCAAAACACTCGCAGTTGATCCCAGACGGCCACCCCGGGAAGGGACAAAGAAGGGGACAGAGAAGGGGGCAAGGAAAGAAGGGGACAAAGGGGTCAAAGAAGGGGACGAGGAAAGAAGGGGACAATGAAGGGGGCAGAGAAAGAAGGGGGAAAGACCGGGTTAAAGAAAGAAGGGGACAAAAAGGGGGCAAAGAAGGGGACGAGGAAAGAAGGGCATAAGGAAAGAAGGGGAGAAAAAGGGGTGAAGAAAGAAGGGGGCAAAGAAGCAGACAAGGCAAGAAGGGGATGAAGAAGGGGCAAATAAAGAGGGGACAAAGAAGGGGACAAGAAAAAGTGGCAAAGAAAGAAGGGGACAAGCAAAGAAGGGGTCAAGGAAAGAAGTGGGCAATGAAGGGTGCAAGGAAAGCAGGGGGAAAAGGGGACAAAGAAGGGAACAAAGAAAAGGGGGGCAAAGAAGGGGGCAAAGAAGGGGACAAGGAAAGAAGTGGACAAAGAAGGGGGCAAATAAAAAGGGGGTAAAGAAGGGGACAAGGAAAGAAGGTGACAAGGAAGGAAGGGGACAAGGAAGGAAGAGGGCAATGAGGGGTACAAAGAAAGAAGAGGGGAAAAGGAGAGGGGCAAAGACGGGGGTAAAGAAGGGGTGAAGGAAAGAAGGAGATGAAGAAGGGGGCAGATAAAAAGGGGGCGAGGAAGGGGACAAGGAAAGAAGGGGAGAAGGAAAGATGGAGACGGTTTGCTTCTTCACTGACCAGTGTTTTGGCAAGTTAGACATGTTTGAACAGAAGTTAATGGGAGTCTTCACTGCCTAAGCTACAACTGAACAGAAACTGAGCACACAGCAACTAGTTTTAGCCCTGACAGCACATAGTCCAGCCAACAGTAATGCAAGCAGAAACATTAAAAGCAAACAGGTTAGCTGAATTGTAGTGGTTCCCATGTTCACAGCTCAAACCCCTGAATTTTAGGATCCTCACCTGAACAGCAGAAGTGAGGGATTTGGCTTTGTTTTCAATTCTTCATAACGCTCAGGAGTTTGGGAGGAGGGTAGATGAGTAAAGGTGAGTCAGACTAGCCAGCCTGCCCGCCCCCCTGTGACACCTGCAAGGCCTGGGGTGGATGAGATGCTTCAATGCAGAATGCTGAGACAAAATCAAAGGATAAGCAAACTCTGTCCTCCAGCCTTTACTTGTAATCAACCTATCCAATAGCACTGACATAATATCTTAGAGAGTTCAATATAGCTTTGTTGGATGGGGTCTTCTGCTCCTTCATGGAGACTAAGATCAAGCTTTTTTCTGTACATAGTATTTTCAGAAAAAGACCAACAAAAAAATCAGTGAAAGTTACATTTAGAGAGACACTATTAGTTTTGGAAATGGGAGCACTGGCTTTTTCAAACTAATGTGCTTAGCTCCCTTTTAGGCCTTACACAGACTTTCTCTCCTCTTTTCCCCTTTCTCTGGCAAGGAGACAACAAGAATAATTGAGAGGAGCTCAGTCTCTGGCAGTGAGTGTTATGTTGTCTCCCAAGAAGGTTGGCTGAGGGAACACTGGGGAATGCTGGTATGACTGGGAGATGCTGTGAAATGCAAGGAGAATGCTTGCAGAACATAGATATGGAAGTACTGCAGCAGTATGTGTGT